CACCGAACCGCAGCTCTGCCCCCGGTCCTGATCCGCCCACGGCCCACCGGGGACCGCCGGCTCTCCTACTGCGCCTTCTGCAAGACCCGGCTTAATTTAATTAACGCTGTCAACTTTAAACAAAACCACATCTGAGGCGCGGAGGGAGGGGGCGCCGGCCGCCGAGGCAGGAAGTAGCCGCTCAGAGACGGGCTGAGGACGAGGCTCTGGTCAGACGGAAACGTTTCCTCCAGGACAGAAAGGAAACAAAAAGAGTCCAGAGTTCACAACCTGCTGAGATTAAAACTCATTCATTTAATACAAAAAAACAACTAATTTTACTCAAGAACTATTAATGTTCAAACTGAGGCGCGTGGGCCGTTTGTGGCCCTCAGAGTCATTTTGTTCGGCCCCCAAATGCAACTCAAGCAAACTTTTCATTTTTAACCCCTTTACCCTGATTAAAGTAATAACTTTAATGTCTGAAAAATTATTTTACTTGCAACACAAAACATTACTTACGTCACAAAGGATTAGTTTTTTTTTTATAGCCAAACCTTTATAACAAGCAGAATTTTACTGAAAAACCGACTTTGCTCTTCCTGACTAAACTAATAAATAATAAACATAGTTAAGTGTTTTAATAGAAACGGACTCAAATCTTTTTCTTATTAACAGAATAAATTTGTTCAATGAATGTGGAAACTAAATAAAATTTATTCTAATGCAGAAAATCAGACAAAAATCAACTGCTTGATTTTATTTTAATCTTTCATTATTATTGTTTTACATTTATTTGGTCTGTAAGCACTTCTGATTCATTGCTTTTGGATAGAATGACAAAAAGTTTAATTTTGTGAAAAAATAATAAGATAAGAAAACAAATGAGACAAAAATCACTTCAGTGTTTTTTAAATGTAATTTAATTTATTTTCCTGATTTTGGACGTAAAGTGCAGGAGGAATTTAATTTCTCTTTTTTTCATGTGGATTATATTTTTTGTTCTTTGTGTTTATGACTGATTAAAAATCAACAAAAATAAAGATAAACTGAATTTTCTGAATTATGTTTCTGTTCATGAACGTCATGTTTTATAAAAACCTGCAGTGATTCTACATTATTACTGTAGCAAAAAAGCAACACATGAATAAATGAAGGAACAGTTGGAGGCCACCTGATGCCGTTAATCAGTTGATCTGTTTTCTCTTTAATGGCTTCATTTTTACGGTTCATTTTCTCCGATATATTTATCTGGATTTCCTCCGTCGTTCAGGCGACATTAGCAAAGCTCAGAGGAAGAGCTGCAGACTTTATCAGCGCGGACAACAAATTAACCAAAACAATGATATCTAAAGGAAAAAAACAAAACAAAGAAACACTCTGCAACCTGCTAATGTTAGCAACTGATGCCTAATTTTCTTTTGATTACAAAGACGTCCCACGCTCTCCTCTCAAGTGACGTTTAATTGTTTCTCAAAGTAAATCATCAGCTCAGCAAACTAAATTTGAGAAACAACAATAACAAACTTGCAGCGCAGGGAGACGGGGAGAAAAAGAGAGACAGAAATGAATTAATTAAAAGAAAAAGAGCCATTTTGTCTGCGGTTGATGTGAAACAGAGATGAGAGAAAACAGACAAGAGTTTTCCCCTTAAATGGAGCATATGGGAGGGCAACACAACAATGAGGAAAACAACTTAAATAACACTTGTGTGTAATCATGCAAATGGAAAAGATGTGCAGAGAAAATGTCTGTTCCTATTCTCTTAATGCGCCTGAAAGCAGAGGGGGAGGGTTTCAGCACAAAGGAAACGTTACCTAACCCATAAAACAATAAGAACACGAGGCTGTAAAGTTCTGCAGCGTTCAGGATGTCAAATATCAGAGAAACCGAAAAATCACACGATTAATACGCTCCTGTCTGCAGCTACATCTGGTTCAAACCCATCAAATCTACAATAAATACCTACAAGCCAAATATAATCGTTCAAAATACGACTAAAGCTAAAATATTAGATGAAGAAATCAACACAATATGTCAATTTTTCTCATGTTAAAATAGAGGAACGGCGCCAAAGAGTCACTAAAACATGAGAAAGAGGCTGAAAGGAAACGGAGTTGGACCTAAAGCACAACAAATAACTTAAATCACCATTTAATAAGAATAAAGTCCAACATTTTTTTACTTCAACTCCAACAACTGCTAACAGTTAGCACCGTTGATGCTAACAGTAACTCTACCAGAGTTACTGTTAGCGAGTAAACAATACACAACACAGTTCGTACAGTTAGTAGCTAACAGTTAGCATATTTAATAGCTAATGGCAACATATTAGACTGCTAACAGGGAATATGCTACTACTACTTTCAATTAGTATAGCTGGTAGCTAACAGTTAGCTTACTTGCTAGCTACAAACATTACTACAGGTAGTGATGTAGCTAAAAGTTACTGCAATAGATTGCCAACAGTGAATATAATGTATTGCTAGCATTTAGTTTGACTGGTAGCAAAAGGTAAGCATGCTAGGTAGCTTATGGTAACTATACTAAATTGCTAACAGTGAGTATATCATATTGCTAACAATAAGTTGCAATAGTAGATAACAGTAAATATATTTACTTCCTAATTATAGATATACAGCCATGCTAACAATGAGTACAGTACAATGCCAGATCTGTTGTCATAGCAACCTTCCAGACCTCCCAGGCATTCTGGTTCTGGTTCTGCTCTCCATCCCCAGAACCAGGAGAACATGTCAAACTTAGCAACAGAGTGTGATATATAAACACTTAAAACCTCAAATTATTGTTAGCTTACACAGATCTACGCGGTGAGATTCACTGCAGACTGGAGGCAAAAACACAAAGACTCAGAAATGCAGCTTTTGAGCTGAATAGCTAATAACATGCTAATACAGCACTTAGCGTTAGCTTCCACTAAATACCATGCTAATACAGCACTTAGCGTTAGCTTCCACTAAATACCAAGCTGCTATATTGCTGTAGCGCTAGCGTCAAATAACTATCGTTTTGATTTAGCATTTCAGTGTTAGCAGAATCAATACTTATGATTAGAGTTAGCGTAGCTACATTTTTAGCTCATGACGCCCCCTGCTGGTGAATATTATGGGATAATATCAGCTAAATATCAGATGTTTATTCTGTCCCTCCAGTATTTCATCAGTTTCATAAACAGATATAATCGGCATTTCAAAGTCGAGTTTTGATGAATTAACTCAACAGAAAGTCACAAAGTTTGTATATTTTCCAGAAACAACAGCAGATCCTGGTTGTTTCTGGATGTTTGTGTTTTAGTGGTTTGGTGCTCAGAAAGTTAGCAGCTCTTCTTCTTCTTCTTCTTCTTGAAAGAGAAATCGCAGAAAACAGAGCAGTGACTATGAAACCAGAACCGGAGGCTCCACAGAACCAACTAAAACCCTGCAAAGCTTCGGCTTCATTTTCTGCTCCTCTGCACAGCAAACCGGCGGGAAGCTGGGCGACGACGGCCCGGACCGATCCAGAACGCCGTCGACAACCAAACTGTTCGCTACCAGGAACGTCTAATGGAGGAAGAGGCTGCAGAACCAGAACCAGGAAGAAAAGACGCAGCGTTCCTGCACATGCAGAGGCCACAGATCGTCCAGCGAAACTGCAGTTTGCAGGTGGAAACAGCAGAAACGCTTCCTTCAGGATTTACTGACGGAGGAACCGACCTCTACAGATCACACTCATCTCCTCTTCCTGTCCTCCCTCTCCTGCCTTCGCTCTTTCCTCCGCCGAAGGAAGGAAGGACAAATCGGACTCCCGCCGCCACGCTGCATATTCAGCCGTCGTTAACGAGTTTTTAACGAGCAAAAAGCCGAGCAGCGACCGAACCAACAGGCAGGAAAACTGACTTCAAGACAAACGCTGAGATGTTAAAGAAATGGTTCAAATCTAAAACCAGGCAGCAGCAAACAAGGAGCCCAGATGCTGCAGCAGCATCGATGTTTAAACGCAAACAGAGACGCTCTGGGGTCCGATTCAAAACGACTCAAACATAACGCTCCCCGAAATACAACTGGAAGAACAGTTAAAGAATCAGAACTGAGAAAAGACGGGTCAACTAAATATAAAACATTAACTAAATGCAAAAACTAAAATTAAATTAAAATAGCTTTAAAAGTTGACGACTTTTGACTGTAAAACTAATTCAATAAGTGAAATAAACTTCTAAATAACTAAAAATATAATAAATATAACAATCGTTATAACTGGAAGCTATTAAAATGGTAAAATCTGTAAAACAATAAAAGAACGTTAAAATACTTGAAAATTATTGACTGTCAAAAACATTAAAACAATAAAATCTATTAAAAAAAACTTTAATGAGAAGCGCGAAAAATACTGAGCGTAAAAATTAAAAATTGAAGTTAAACGATTAAAAAACGAAACTCTTCAAAAACTTTTAAAAGTTTTTAAAAAGCGTAAAATCTAAACACAAACAGACCAGTAAAAAATGTTAAACCGTTTAAATAAAAGTACATACAAAAAAATCTGTAGAAATATTTAAGCTTAAAAATTAGTCACTGCAAAAGTTGTAAACTAAAAACTACAAAAACTATCAATACTTTTCAATATTGGCCACAAAAATGAAGAAATTAACTAAAAATAATGTAAAGAGAAACTTCTTCAATAACTTTTAAAACTGTTTGAGAAAACTGTAAAAGTATAAAAGTTAGATGTAGAAACTAAAATATTTTACTTTAAAAGAAAAAATAATCGGTTTAACTTGTGAAACTTAAAATTGCAAAAAACTACAAATATACCCTAATAAAAAACTATAATGAACCATCTGAAACATTTTCCAACAATAAACGTTTGCGTTATTTATAAACAAACTGCACAACAAAAACGCCTTAAAACCAGAGAATCATCATCATCATTTGTCCATACGGAAGCCCAGCAGGGACAATACTTTAATCCCACAAATGAAAGAAAACATCAGCACTTTTTATTCACCAAAAACCAGCATCACTTACTGAGGACGGCAAGCCGGGAGGGACCTTCCGCACTTTTTTTGTGTGGACTTCTGCAAGAGAAAAAAAACAACAAAAGGTGAGTTTAAGAGGCGATTCCACTTCCTGTCCACAGGAGCGCCGCTGAGGAGGACGCTTCAGAGGAAAAACAGGCAGGAAATAGAGAGAGCAGCTCAAAACAGGCAGGAAATAGAGAGAGCAAGAAAAACAGGCAGAAAATGGAGAGAGCAAGAAAAACAGGCAGGAAATAGAGAGAGCAAGAAAAACAGGCAGAAAATGGAGAGAGCAGCACAAAAAGAGGCCAGCTCCAGGAATATTTATATTAGAGTTCAATGTTTCTCTCAAGGAGACGCTCCTATTAATTCAGAAGGTGAGGCTGTGATGGGAAAATTAGCTGCATCCTCTACTAGTGTGTGTGTGTGTGTGTGTGTGTGTGTGTGTGTGTGTGTGTGTGTGTGTGTGTGTGTGTGTGTTGTCTGAGGCTGAAAGCCCCCAAGGTTTTCGTTGTGTCCTGTTTTTAAAGCGATCGGACCAAACGCGGTTCGTCTGCGTTTCAGCCAGATGTTCGCTGCTCACCGATTGGCCGCAGAAATTTAAATCAGAGTGGAGGACGGCGAAATATTTTAACAATAACCAGGGTGACACACTTCAACAAAAAATATGTTTTATATTCAGCATTCAGTGGAAAAAAATAAAAACACAATTTAAGCTGCAGCTTAACATGAAAACTATGCTTGTTTAATTAATGTGTAATTAACATTTAATCAATTAAAAATGAACATTGACTAGACTGTTAACAATAAATTGAATAAAACGAAGCAAAAAATTAAAGATTTTATGTAGATATATAAAATAGTTTTAAGTTAATAATAAATAAAAAATAAACATTCTAACGATTTAAACACTGATTGTTAAATAAAGCAAAACAAAACAGTTTTTATCATTATAAAACTAAATAATATTTATTTTATAATCATACGAGTCCTATTTTATGTTTTTTTATAAATTGCTGATTTTTTAACATAATTTTAAGATTTCTGACTGAAAAACTTTATTTTATGTCTCCTTTGATTAATTTTCAACCTGTTGGATTCAAGTTAATGTGCCTTTAAAGACAAAATTTAGAATAAAAAAATAAAACAAAAAAGTGTCATTAATCAGAAACCTCATGTCCCACATAGGGGCTGAGAACCTCAAGTTGAAAACCTCTCATGTTTCAAAGAAAAATAACATAAAAAATGTTTTTGATGTAGAAAAAGTTTTGAAGGAACTGGAGCCTCCGTTGTTGCTCACCCATGGCGTCCATGTGCAGTGCTCTCCTACGCGGGTTGGACCCGTAGTGCTGGTAGTACTGACCCGCTGGCTTGGTGGGCGACGCCGCGCTGGGGCTGCCCATCGCCAGCTCGCCGCCCAGAACCGCCTGGAGGGGGCAGCAGAGGCGGGCGGGGCGTTAAACCGACCGAAAACACAACAGAACCACAGGAACACACTCATTAGCACCATTATGCTAATTATGTTGGCATTATTTAGCACTAGATAATTTAAAATGATAATTAGCTAAATAATTATAAATAATAAAAGAAAAAACTGCTCAAAATTAAATACATTTCAGATCTGCAAGTCAAACTCTTCACTAAACTTGTACACCAACAAACTAAAACTAGGAATCTCATATTCAAGGATTTTCAGCCTGGAAAACGACAGTTTGCCTGTTAATAACACACTTTACATTCAAATTTTTGGCACGCTTGGTATTCCATACACAAGCACAATGAGTCAGATGTGTTTATTATCAGATATAAACTTTTAACACAACAAATGATTGTTGGTTTACATGGAAATATGAGCTCAAATCAGTTTCTCTGCTCGTTCAGATCGGTGCAACAAACGTCTCAGGTTCTGATTCAGAATTATGAAGTTTTTTATTCAGAACAAACAAAAACATTCTGCATCCGTCTAGTTTTGACTTATTTATCTAAAACACAACAAAACAAAAACTAGAACTGGTAAGTTGAATTTATCATTATAAACATTGAAATCACAACTATATCCAAACATCTCTCCATATTTTTCAGTTAAATGTCTCTTAGCATCACTTGGACCACTGTGAGAATCATTTCAAGGTCTTTAAATGGCTCCCGCGCCACATTTTGGACACCATTCTTAAAGTTTGGATGTTCTTCCAGACTTGGGCAAAGCTAATTTTTCATCAAACCATCACAAAGTCATGCTGTATCCCATTAATGCCTATTGATGCATATTTTACACACAGTAATAATTTCACTGGAAGCTCTTCGTCACCATCTAGTGGTTAGAGTTATAACTGGCTCATTTGGACACTTAATATCCACTTTTAGGCTTTTTGTGCAATCACTGTTGGCAGTAAAAAGTCAAATATTTTTTTAATACAAATAGATTTAAACAGTAAAGAGTTAAAACTGTGCAACAACGGACCCACAGTATGATGCTACCACCACCTTGTGTAGCAGTTGCAACACTGTTTTGCCTCTCCATACATCTACTTTATGTTTTTATGATGTGAAGCATTTAGAACTGCCTTGATGAAATAATCTGATTTATTAATAAGATTGATTGATTGATTGATTGATTGATTGATTGATTGATTGATTGATCTGTGTCCTAGAGTTACTGCTGAGTCTTCAGGCTCAAGCCAAAATATCTGGACAGAAAAATGTTCTCACTGACTTGGAACTAATTTTCAAATTAAATGACAAATGGGTTTGCTATACATTCCAGGATATGCAAGTAGCTTTTAAAACTAAACATTTACAACGTATATCAACATAAATAATACCATCAGATACCAGGATCAGGACTGTGAAATTTTAGTTTTGATTATTTAATAACATAAAAATAATTTTTTGTATGTTTCTGGTAAGCCTGTAAACCTGATGCACCAACTACAGCCGCTAGCAACGGAAACGTCTTCTCTGGTCCACTGGATTTTAATTTCTGCTTCAAAATCGATCCAACTGGAGGCTGGAAAAGACTATTGTTCTGTTCAAGTAGTGCTAAAAAAAGTTAGCCTATCAGTGAAGCTGCGATAGCTTAAATTAGCATCTGAATGGTAAGCAGGTAGCAGCTAACGCTAACGTCAGCGTCCACATTTCTAAAGAAGCTCCATGAATGATCAGGACTTCCTGGAACTTTATTCAATAGTTTATAAATTTTTATGAATCCTTATTTTGTAAATAAACTGCAAAAACACAAAATCTGACCAAATATTTTTATTTTAGTTTATAATGCAAATATCTTAATACACTTAAAATAAGGGAAAAAAAACTAAATTTCAGAAGAAAATTTCTTCTCAAGAAGAAATTTGAGCTTGTTTTCAGTAAATAATTTCTTAAAAATGATGTAAAAAGTAATAGTTCTACTGGCAAAATCTTTAAAAAAGTGTTATTTCAAATGTACTAACAAAAAGTACTTGATAAGATTTTCAGTATATTTTTCAATTAATTTTAATTAGTTACAGACTTTGAAATAAACTGGATTAAATATTTTGAGTAAAAACTTACTGCAGGTTAAATCTCCATTCTAGCTCCGTACTCCTGGTATAATTCCAGGTTTGTGTGTGAATATCTGGACCGGAAACAAACCCAAATAAACCCAGAAACGTCGCAGATCTGTGTTTTTCAGGCCGATCCTACCTGGAACCAGCAGAACCATGACGTTCACCTCCCGACTCAACCCGACCCGACTCTGAGCCGCGGCTCTGTTTACGCCTCATAGCTCTCCCTCTCTCTCTCCCTCTCTCTCACACACGCACGCGCGCACACACACACACACACACACACACACATTGTCCCGCTAATTAAGTTCAGTGATTTCTGCAGCAACAAGTGGCATCTGGGCCGATTCAGGCAGAGAGAGGGGTTCCTTTTTTTATTCAAAGTGGCGCAGAAAGTTTGTTGGAGGTGAAGAAGAAGCCGCCTCTCCCTCCGCCCGTAAATAGACTCCTCTGACATGTTTTTTTCCCAGCTCCTCGTTAAGTAATTAGCGTGTGGTGTGTTTTAGGCGGAGGAGTGTGTTTAGACTCCGGGCGCGGAGGAGGGAGGGTGTTTTCTCTTTCTCTCTCCTCCTGATCTGAATTCTCATCAGCGAACCTGTTCCGCCTGAAAACAAAAAAGTTAGCGCAGACTTTTCTCATGCTAAGCAGGGCCTAAGTAGGCCAATTACAGGGCCGCCCTCAGCCCCGGGGCCCTAAAACAAAAGGGCCCTTGTCTTAAATAAAGTCAGCCAGACACAAAGGCGCACAGTCAGGCAGTGTTCCCGCCGCCCCGGTGGGGCTCGGTGCGCGCCCGCCATCGGGGCTAAAAGGAGGTTCCCACTAAAACAAAAAGGGTCTCAGTGATTGTGCTCGCCTTTCTTTCTTTTCTCCTGCAGAAAAACCCGAGCGTCAAGCCAGGTCTCCACGGCAACTAGACGGGGTCGCCGCGGCAGGAGTACGCCGTCTGGCCCGAATGCATCTCGTTACCTGGACTGTTTGCTTCTTGGCGAATTAAGTAAATGTCGCAGTAGCAGTTTGAAAACGCGACGTCAGTACGGGTAAGCACGGTGGAGGCTGCATCATGATGTGGGGAAGCTGAGTCCAGAACAATTCTGGTGGGAAATCAGAGAGACAGAGGCCGTTATCGGTGTTATAGGCCTTAAAACGAGAAAGACAGGAAGGACACTGCAAAAACACTGAATCTTACAAAGTGTCTTTTCTGTCTATTTTCTTGAAATAGAACAAAATTAACTTAGAAGTAGCTTATCAGCAAAATAAAGGAGCTTTTTTTACATCAATAATGCCTTAATGTTGTATTATAAGATACATTTTTATATTTTTTGTCAATTTTAAGAAATTATTGGTTTGATACAAGCCCATATAACTTTGCTGAAAGTTATTTTTGTCTTTTCAAATGTACTACAAATATTTGTGCTAGAAAAATCCTAGGAAAAAAATGTCTGTCCTACCATCACAAACATAAACGTGGAGTTCTGCTAGAGGCTAATGAAGCGTTCACTGGAACATTTCAGAGTCTGGATTCATCCACATGGAAATGTTTCTTTTTATAAAAACAGGAGGACACAGCGGATAATGTCGGGTTGAAATGCTGAAATTGGTTCTCGTTCGTTAGCGTCCTGTAATTTTTTTGTGTGTTTAGCAGCTTAGTGTTAGCTTTAAAACATTTTTTATGTTTTAAGTGATTTAGCATTAGCTTCCAGTATTTTTTTTAGATAACTTTAGAAGCTTAGCATTAGGTTCAGTTATGTATTTTGTTTTCAGAAGATTAGCATTAGCTACTGTTGATTTTTAAATAAATGTAGCAGCGTAGCATCAGCTTCAGTTACGTATTTCATGTTTAATGTTAGTTTCTGTGGATTTCTTATGTGTTTAGCAGTTTAGAAAACTAACTTTTTGGTTAGCTTTGCTCACCACTGACGAGTACTGCTGGTTTTAGTACAAACATATTTTCCATTTCAACAATGGCAGCCATTTTGAAAAGTGTCCAACAGCAAAAGGAAACAAGATCAAGAAAAATGTGATTTTAAGGTTGAAAATATGTAAGCACATTCATCTAATTGGTGAAGTTAGATCTTTTTTTCATGAAAATGAAATTTTAATATTTTTGTTGCGCATCAATGCTAATGTATTTGTGTTAATGTTCGTTAACAATTGTAACTTTAAGGTGCTACTTTTGTATGTTACAGTTTCACAGTGTCCAGTTCAGTGAATATCAGGACAACAAGACGCTCCTGGTGTTCACTGGAGAGACTGTTAGCTGTTAGCTAAGCTAGCGCTACGCACTGTGGGCAGAATAAAAGTATTTCTCCATTTTGCACATTTTTTCAAAGTTTTTCTGAATTAAAATCCTTTATTGACCAGAAAACCTCCACAGCATCTTCGTCTCGGCTGGTTTTCTCCGTGCAGCAGCAGCAGCCTACGGGTCCGACTCCCTCAGGAGTGTGTGTGTGTGTGTGTGTGTGTGTGTGTGTGTGTGTGTGTGTGTGTGTGTGCGTGTGTGTGCGTGTGTCAGCTGGCGTACAGGTGCGCCGCTGCCTCGCCAGCACTTCCTGGTAATTAATGACTCCTTCCTGCCTCCTACCTCCCTCCTTCCTCGCGTCTCTCACGCTGGAAATTGATGACACGTGAGCGCCGCGCGAGGGTGGAGGAGGCGGTCGCCGCGGTAACGCTGCTTGTGTCGGACTCAGGCAGCCATCCATCATGGAGGACGGCTTCGTTCGTATCTGCATGCGTTTATTTTTGTGCGTCACGCGATCCGATGGCGTGTCGGTCCGATTGGTTGTGTGCACGCCGCGGCGCGTCTCCGCCGTGCGTCTCCGCCGTGCGTCTCCGCCGTGCGTCTCCGCCTCGCTCTCTGGTGATCCGTCTTGGTTATTATGGTCTGTATG